AGGTACGGCCTTCAACACGAAGCCTTGGCTCACACCGAACAGCAAGCTATAAAGGGCCCCAAAAATTACTAGTGTAAAACCATTCAAATGGGAAAACCAGCGGTCTAATCTATATAAAAACGAGAAACAAGAAACACGTATGAACTATATAAACAGACAACAACTACTGTACATCAGATTCCTGACTTAGGACAGGTGCAAATATTTGCAGCGGGATTAAATGTTTTAATACATTGAGATCTGCATGCATAGCAATATAATTATCTTACTCAGGATGTTGTTGAAATATTCACCTCACTCATTATGTTGATCCTATTATGGATAAATAGTTCCAACTGGATGTCAAGCAGCCAATAAACAATCATTACCATATAATGAAAACAACTATATCAAAAGATATTTAATATTTTTCATGGGCATTTTTTTGGAATACATACACATATTTTAATTGTATTCAACACATTTCATTTACCTAACTAACATAATTCCTCTTGCTTAACTGCATCTGATATGCTTCCTTAATATATACACATGTATGAATTTAAATGAAAATTCACGCAGTCAAAGCTTATTTGACGAAAATAATCAAAATCATACTAAACCAAAGCAAACCAAAAAGTTGGGTATGGTACAGACTGTACTACAGGCACAAATACATCAACTTATATGCATAAGAGCATGTTTATCCTCCTTTTTCTTTGAAGTAACCCAGTTTTAACATGTACAAATATTCTAAATCGCACAATTTAAAAAAAAAATTATACCGCTCGCTCTACTTGTAGAGCTCCCGCCTCAACAAAACTCATTTTCAAGAAATAAATACAATCAAAAAAATTTCGCTCACTCGCCCCATATTTTTTGGAGCTTTTGTCCGAAGAACTAAAAATCAAATTGGTGTGGCCTAAGTGGGTTTTCCAATTTGAACTGTCTACTGTTCATGACAAAACTAGAAGTAAGCAAATAACAAATACCAATGTGAATCAAAAAAGATCAACCCAACAACATAAACCAATAAACAACTTTCACATATCCTCATAGTGTCATGTTACACTAAAAAAAGGTTATTAAAAATGAAAAACTTGATTAGGTGTTCCCAGGGTTTTTTTTTATTTTTTTGGACCTGTGCCCCTCTTAATCTCCTGGACTTTAGGGATTTTGAGACTTAATTTTTTACTTGAAAATATAGGATTAAGTCTGTAATATTTGCTTCAGTTTTTGTCTCGCCTTGACAGAGTCGAAAAGCAAGTCATAGGTATGCTATTTCCGGGGGTGGCGTCGTAAACAATGTATTAGTTTGTGATTAGGTCTAGTTAATGGTGAACCACAAGTGGTAGGTCAATGATATTTGGTATTCAGTTGTATTAGCATTGGCACATCTCATTTCCATGTAGATTATTTGGCCCTGCCCCCTCAGTCATGGTCTATTGACTTTGAAACTTTTGCTCAGTTTACATGTATTAGTTTGTGATTAGGTAAGTTTATGGGTAACCACTAGTGGTAGGTCAATGATATTTGGTATGCAGTTGTATAAGCATTGGCATATCTCATTTCCATTGAGATTATTTGACTCCACTCCCTTAGTCATGGTCTATTGACTTTGAAAATTTTGCTTATTATTCATGTATAAGTTTGTGATTAGGTTAGTTCAAGGGGAACCATTAGTGGTAGGCCAATGTTAATTGGTATTCAGTTGTATAAGCATTAGTACATCTCATTTCCATGGAGAATATTTGGCCCGCCCCCTCAGTCATGGTCTTTTGACCTTGAAAATTTTGCTTAGTTTACATGTATTAGTTTGTGATTAGATCAGTTTAAGTTGAACTGCTAATGTTAAGTCAATAATATTTGGTATGCAAATTTATTGGCATTTGCAAGTGTCGTTTCCATGGAGATTATATAGCCCCACCCCCTCATCATGGTTCATTGACTTTGAAACTTTTACATAGTTTACAAGTTAATGTTTGTGTTTAGTGCTAATTTTTTAAGTCAATGATATTTGGTATGCAAATTTATTGGCATTTGCAAGTATTGTTTCCATTGAGATTATATAGCCCCTCCCCCTCATCATGGTTCATTGACTTTGAAACTTTTACATAGTTTACAAGTTAATGTTTGTGTTTAGGTTTGTTGAAAGGGAACGACTTAAAGTAAGTCAATGGTATTTGGTATGCAGTTGCATTAGCATTGGCACTTCTCATTTCCATGGAGATTTTTTAGCCATGTACCTTCAGTCATGGTTAATTGACTTTGAATATTTGCATAACTTACATGTTAAAGTATTGCTATTTTAATTTCAACATTTGCATTATCAAAATTACAAATAGGCGAGACATATCTCTGTGTTAACAGTTTATTTTCTAGAGTAATCATCTGATAATCAAACATTGCTTATTGTCTAATCAGTTATAACATATGTATGACCTATAATGCTATAGGCAGGGTTTCATGTGGAATGTTGTTAAAATGTTTTGTTTGTTTTTATACTTTTATTAAATGTTTTGTGAATATAAAATGAAATTCTATAACATGGTATATTATGTTGGTTAAAAAAAATTGATAATAAAACTTGTCGTTTATCATGTTTATTGCATTTTTAATTATAACTGTGTCAATTGTTTGTGTGAGTGTCGTATATTGTGAATCTGTCAGAAAAAAACTGTCAGCCCCTCCCCACCCTCTGGAATTGAATGGTCGCCCTGTAATTATTTTGTAAATGTTTGATTGTTTCACATGTTAACTAACACTAAAAATTTCCAGCAGTCATTCAAATCACAACATAGAACAAATATTGAGAAAACGGGTATAGGGTAATGACAACGTCGAACGGGAAACGGAACTGATTTTAACGGTTTTCTGAATTTCATAGAATGTTCTCCTTTATTTAACCTTTTGTTCATTAAATAATCTGTAATTGCTTTCTGTTTATTAGACATTGTTGTTTGTTGTTTAAATTCATCAATAAATTGCCGCTTGAAATATTCTGCTAAATCGTCTAATTTTAAAGTGCTCTTACGATCATATTTAATTCCATGGTTTATATTTATCACTTCTCCGACTTTGGAGGTGTGCCTTAAATTGGCAGAAGATAGATCGATACTTTAATGCGGACGTCGACAAAGACACCCATAAACATAAACATGAATTTCACATGATGTAGAACGGAAAGTATTAAGGAAAGAATAGATTGAATTAGATTTGATCGATCTTCACAAGAATTTTGCACATGATTTTTAGGTATTTTTATTTTTTCTGCCGGTACCAGACGCTTCTGTAGGGGGGTAAAAGTAACGGGTACCGGATCTTAATGAAAGCACTGTATTCCAATGTTCATTTTCACAGTATATCATTAGCCTCATTATAGTATGCATTTAAGCATTATACACAACAACATCTTGCCTTTAATTCTGGGCGAGAAATTTCAACTGAAAATTTTTAAGTTTCAAGGAGTATATGTATCATGGTTGTCTGCTATATTAAAGAAAATAAAATAATCGTATTTGTCGGTAGAAGTTTTGTCTATAACAGAAATATATTCTTACATATCACATAAGATTTACTTCTTAAAGGAAGACATGCATAAAATATTTGTCTTTTGACTATTAAAAAGTCTCTTTCAATTGTCTCAGAAATATTTGTTACTCCTTCATTTCTTTCTGTTCTTGTCACAGAGAGAAATGACTTTTCTGTAAAATTTTAAAGTGCAGTGACTCTGTTTTAATATTTGGAAGCTTTTAATCAATAACTGCCTGAAATAGAGCTTATTATTTTTAAACTGGATTAATATATATGTTTGATGAGTTATTTTCTAATCAAAGGTTTTCTTTTGTAAATTTCCTACAAGTCAATAGACAAAATTAATGGTTAGTTGAAAAGTGGATGTGGTTAAGCACTAACAAGACAGTTGGAGATTCAATTATTAAATTCCTCCAGTCCTCGCACCTGAAATTGTCTGCGACCAGTTCTCGGAAACTCCATGTCAAATGTACTTAAGATTTTATAGTATGTTAGACTTGCATGTCTAGTTGTTAGTTAACAATTGTTGCATGGGGTCCAATAAGAGGTACATTTAGGGCAAAAAGAAGGGGTTTACTATAGAAAACTTGGGAAGATAACATACTGACCAACCATAGGGATGCTAATTCGTCTGTATGTTAGTCCGTCCCATGAAATTCCTTTGCATTTTTCTCAGGAACTACAAATCAGAGATTCCTTAAATTTGTTATCAGTCTTCATGTGAACATGCTGTACAGTGTGATGTTATTTATTCTAGCATGAAATGGCCATGTTTGAAAGTTTTGTCTCATTTTTATAGGGAACTGCAAAATAAAAGCTTCCTAAAATTTGTTACAAGGTTTCATGTAAGCATACTTTACCGTGTGATGTGTTTTCAGATTCATCAGTCAACTTCCTGTAAACTGATTTACTTATATTTTCTAAGACATAATGGTCAAGTATGAAATAAAAAGCAGTAGCTCACAGTTTTACTTGTATTTTATATGTTCATGACATATATTAATTGATGAAAAACCCTAAAAATTATCCTCTTTTATATGTTCATGACATATATTAATTGATGAATAATCCAAAAATTATCCTCTTTTATATGTTCATGACATATATTAATTGATGAATAATCCAAAAATTATCCTCTTTTATATGTTCATGACATATATTAATTGATGAAAAACCCTAAAAATTATCCTTGAATTGGGCCCAAAACTAGTTTTCTACAGTTTCTAATTCAGTGCAAATAACAAAACTAGTCGATCCTTTTCACCCTTGGGAGCAAGCTATATCAACCCATCATTTCAATGCAATGATCAGCATTCCTTTGCTTAATATAATGATATAATATAATTGATATAATTGCTTTAATAATTTCTTCTCTGTAATGGTAATCTTATATGCAATGTTTATGCTTTAAAAGACACAGTGTTAATTTTGTGTAGGTTTCATTGTTGTTTCTTTTATTCTGCTATTAATTTTAATGAATTTTGTAGATGCATCTAGCGTTTATAGATGGGAGAGTTCCACTAAACGGGTATTCCTTGACATAGAAAGAATGTTTAGTTGTTTTATTGCTTCTTTTACTGGAAAAGTTAGACAGGATATGATAGCTGCATCACTGAAAATCAACAAGTAAGAAAATATAACTTGATTAGAATATGTTATCTTGCAACTTGTATCCTTAACAACCACTGAGGAATCCTTTTGCAGAGGTTTCCATTTACTAAAGGATAAATAAAATCATGATAATGTCTGTAACTTAAAGGAAAAAATGTGCATTAATGTCTGTGACTGATAATTTTGAGTCATGTTATAACCATTATTGCCTAGCTTAAAATATTTGTATAAATCTCAATACAATACAATGCAATGTTTAAGTTTATGTTAACAATGCAAAATGAAAGCAATCTTTAGCCATCAATGCTCACAAGCACTTTGATTTATTGAGCTATTTTCTCACTTATTATTAGTAATAGGACAACTTTATTTGCTGTAAAGAATCATTTCCAAGATTGCAGGGTATTTATGTTTGTCGGACAGGCTTCACCTGAATTGGACCTCATTTTAAAGAATCTGTGATCAACATTGAGTTTTTGTGGTTAGGTCTGTTTCTTAAACATGTTAAATACTTTCAGCAGAATTTCAACTGTATTTGGTGCTTTGAATGATTGTAAGGTGTATTTGTCTGTCTGGCAGGATTTATCTGATCAGTCACCTTGACCTTATTTTCATGGTTCATTGGCCAGCACTATGTTTTTGTCGTTAGGTTTGTTATTCAGATACTAAAAGCAAGGGTTGACTTGGGTTAATGAATATGGACATGCCTGGAATTCTCCTGTTTTGACAGTAAAACTAAAGTGTGGTGTCCTTTTGGGTGTTCAGGATGTATAAATATTAGGGATGTCAACTCGGTGAACAATTACTAATCTAGTACTCGTTGGTTTTATCGAGCGATACTTGAGTACTCGCTCGGGAATATAATTTACAACACGAAAACACAAAAATATGTATTTTAGATTTTGTGGTTTTTGTCGAGCCTTCGACTTTAGTCGAAAAGCGAGACATAGCGATCCTACATTCCGTCAACGGCGGCGTCCACAAATATTCACTCTGTGGTTAAAGTTTTTGAAATTTTAATAACTTTCTTAAACTATCCTGGATTTCTACCAAACTTGGACAGAAGCTTGTTTATGATCATAAGATAGTATCCAGAAGTAAATTTTGTAAAAATAAAATTCCATTTTTTCCGTATTTTACTTATAAATGGACTTAGTTTTTCTGCCGGGAAATATTACATTCACTCTGTGGTTAAAGTTTTTAAAATTTTAATAACTTTCTTAAACTATCCTGAGTTTGTACCAAACTTGGACAGAAGCTTGTTTATGATCAAAAGCTAGTATCTAGAAGGAAATTTTGTAAAAAAATAAATCCATTTTTTCCGTATTTTACTTTTAAATGGACTTAGATTTTCTGCCAGGAAACAACACATTCACTCTGTGGTTAAAGTTTTTAAAATTTTAATTACGTTCTTATACTATTTTGGATTTTTACCAAACTTGGACAGAAGCTTGTTTATGATCAAATGCTAGTATCTAGAAGGAATTTTTGTTTTCTTCCAGTTAACATTACATTCAGTCTGCAGTTAAAGTTTTTAAACATTTATTAGATTCATAAACTATCCTGGATTATTACCAAACTTGGACAGAAGCTTCTTACAATCAAAAGATAGTATCAAGAGGAATATTTTTATTGATTTACTTCCTCATTTTTGTTGAGCCTGTGATTAACAGAAAAAGTAGGCGAGACACTGGGTTCCGCGGAACCCTTACAAATTTTTGGTTCAACGGACGAAAAACCATCTACATAAGTATCTGGGACAAGGAATTACACACCATAATTAATAGCTCATTACCTACAAGTACCTATTAAGTAAAAAAAAACAAATAATTTAATCATTATAATTTAATGAACACCTATTCAAAATTATAACAAGGAAACACCATATCAAACAATAGTATTGGGTAATCTTTAAGAAAACACATTTAATGTTTACAAAGTCGTAAGGATTAGAAGTTTCACTATTCACTGAGGGTCACCAGAGGATGCAACGAATTTATTTTATTTGGAAACATTTTATTGTCCAACTTTTATTGGGTATTATAAGTCGGCTTTGCAACTTTGTAAATTACAGTCTTGCAGACGAAAATATTTTCTCCGACTGTACCGATGTGACGGAATGGCTAAGACATGTTTAGTTTAAAGTGTTAGCCTAGGTATAGCCCACGTATTTTCTGAGGCATTTTAAACATCAATTAAGCACAAGCATTCAAACAAAACATATTTTATTTACCAGTATGATTAATCAGTGATGCATTTTTGTTCCGAAAGAGGTATTTAAGATCATTTTATATAAAGAAGACATCAATATTCTAACAGGAAACCGATTAGTCGAGTATCGTTTTAATATTCGATACTCGGTACTATCGAGCGATACTCGAATACTCGAGTACTCGTTGACATCCCTAATAAATATGCAGCCACATCTGTTTGGAATGGGGATGCTAAATCTGATGCCCTACATAGGGTGAGTTTCACACTCTGTATCTTACAGAAGCCTAATAGCAACTTTCTGAGGGATTCATTGATGGCCTGTTGCAAGACATAATTTCTCCCCCTGTCCACAATGCCCTTATTTTCCAGTTGCAGTCCAAATTTTCTGCCCTTTATCTTGGTCATTCCATCCTGCAGAACCTACCTATTGCATTAATTTTTAATTTGTTTTCAATTGAGTCGATATGAAATAATTGTTACTGGACTTTAAACAGACAACAATCAATCAGTTGTAAGTAATAGTTTATATAGCTATATTTGGTGTAAGGTGTATATGTCTGTCTGCCAGAGATGATCTGACCTGACCCTCATTTCCATGGTCATTGCTAATGTTAAGGTAAGATTATGTTTAACCTGTAGGTGCAATACCACCATTGATTTTCCCCTATTAGTCTTTGTTAAATTTGCACTTTTCAAAAAATTGTGTAGAATTTATCTTTGTTTCAAATATAGAAATACTGGGCATGAGTAAAGTTTTATCCTGTCCAGTACTATAGACAAAATTTCACATAACATTTCATTGCATATAAGAAAATAACCATCACTGGAAGTTTTTCCTGTGTACACGCTTTAGTAACCATGTAACCTAAAGTTTCCAAAATATTCTATAGAAACACCAAATAAAAATATAATGGTGCTTTGAAACACCCAAGATATATGTTTATGACTCAGAAATTTTTACTGCAATGAAATGTAGGATTAATTTCCCACAACTCAAATTCAAGGGAATATTTTTTTTTCAACCCTTTTTTTGTATGCAACCGGATGTGACGTACTATGATTTGGTGGTATTACTCCTGTAGTAGAACCTTTTTATCATATAATTCAATTATGATCAGTAAAGCAGGCAAGACATTTCAACATGTGCACTATTGTGTTAATGTTTTCTTGGTACTGAAGACAAAGAATGATTTATTGGCCTTGATTTCTTGTGAAATCTTTAAAAATGTTTGCTAATTTAAAATGTTTTGTTGATGAATAAATATCAAAATATCAGTTTTGTGCCATATGATGAGTTCTGGCGTTTTGGAGCTTTTATTTTTTATTTGTTTTTGTTTTACAGGAGAATAAAAGAGGCCCAGTCTACTCCATCATTTTTAGAACCAAAGAAATGGTCAGAAATGATATCTATCAAATTAAGGAAAATTGGTGAGAGTAATCAGGCAGCAGTTGATGTTATGGATGGACAAGAAAATCTACCATTTTATGAGCCATTAGTAGCAAGCCAGTTACCAGAAACTCCTGAAGTTTTACAAAAACTATACAACAAAGAACAATCTAGTTCAGAAGTGTTAGTTTTTTTATGCTTTCAGAAATGTTTGAGGAAGAAATTTCCATACTCTCCGTGTTATTGAGGCAGAAATTTCCTTATTCTCATAAGGCATTGAATTTGTTTATGAGACAGGGTTGTCATTGTTGAGTTTGTACATTTATCTCATCTGGCCAATTAGAGCCATATGAGCTATTGACATCACTTTGTGCAAGTCGTTGCCTGTCCTCAGTCATAAACTTTTTCTTCAAATTTCTTCTTCAAAATTACTGAACCATATATATGCAAACTTCATAGGATTGATACCTCGGGTGTTTCAATTATGTTTTTTGAGTAATATTTCAATCTAGTTCCAAACATGACCACCATAGTTTTAAATAGAACATAAGGTATAATGAATGTTATTGCCTTAATTTAAACAAAAAATCCACAAAAATAAATTTGGGGTTAAAACATTTATGGATGAATTACTAGACATGATTTTAGGGGCAGTCTAATTAGTTCAACTTCTGTATCACTAGTCTGGGAACACTGAGGTTGTGAGTTCATAACCCTGCATGTGGAAGGTACTTTGTACTCAAATCTTTATTGAATAGGAGTGTCAGTTTTCTGGCCAAAGGTCGGTGGTTCTCTCCAGGCACTCTGGCTTTCTCCACCAATAAAAACTGATCTCCACGAAATAGCCAAAGTGACATGAAACACCAAATCAATCAATTATCTTTCAGATTTATATTTTTGCATTATGTCCACACAAAAAAATGCCAAAAATTGTTTACTTAAATGGTTCAAATAAAAAACATGCCAAAAAGGAAACCCCATAAACTTTATTTTAGAGAGAAAAATTCCCTGTTCAAATTACCATGTTTGTTTCCTGTTTTAGAACCTTTAACCTTTAGCGAAGGAACAATTCCTTGATAAGACAAAGTGTATGCTTCAGTGCAATAATTGTATTAATAATCGTTTCGTTTAATACAATATTCAATGATTAACCAAGAGGAATAATCTGTTATTACCTGTATGTACTAAAGATTTAGAAAGATTCGCTGCCATTAATTTTATTCAGGACTTTTGCCATTGTAAAATATCTCCTTCACCTTCTATTTCTTTAGCAATTTGAATTTACTCAAGCTGTTACAGATGCTTACATAAGAAAATGTCTGTCTATTTTTTTCTAACCTAAAATGAAACTTGAAGATAACTTTGATTTGTAACTGACTTGTCTTAAATATTTCAGAATGTATGATGAACCGTTGGATGTGATGCTGTTTAGATTTGATTGTATTGTACAATATCACCAGTGGACAGATGACTCCAGTTGTAGATATAAAATGTGTGTATTAGGGTCCTTCATCCTGAAAAAGTTGACATTGTTGTCAGAAAATGTAAGATTGTATTATGCCTCCTCTATATTAAGCGTTTTTCATATTTAGTCAGCAGCTTGACAGTGATGAGTTGAATCATATGAGCACTTTTCAGATCTGTCTGATACCTACATCCTGTTTGCCAATACTTTCAATTATTAAGTATGTTGAATGAAACTTCAAAATTTTCGTTACACATTTCTCGAGTGCTTTTGAACAGAATGTCTTCATATTTGATCAGCAGTTTAACAGTGATGATTCGTAATGTGTGAGCACATTTCAGATTTTCAGGCACCAATTTTTTGAGGGGCGTATTATGGAATACAGTAATCTGTCAGCATGTCAACACTTTGTACATTGAATAACTGTTTAAAACAATTCTAATGAACTTTTAACACACATAGGATTGAAGGAAGAAAGCTCCCATTCAATTTTGGTCTAGATTTGAACTGTTAGATCCAAGGCAATTTATTTTCACATATGACACAATTACTAGTGTATACTTTGTTTGCCTGATTCAAAACTTTATACTGTTGTTGGTATTGATAAAAGAAAATTTCATTTTGATTTTGAAATTTTTCTGGTTTGTTTTTCCAGTGTAACAGGACTTCATTTTTCACATGTACACTTGCTTGTGTAAACTCAAATATATTTATTTGAAGCTTTTCACAATTGATGGAATTGGTAAAAGTAAGGTACAACCTGATTCTCTTCCCCCTTTCCCTATTGCATTGCCTGACATCGTCCAGATAAGGGGACACATAGGGATCCATCATCAGCGTTTATTGTATTGCTTAACATCGTCCATATAAGGGACATATAGGGATCCTTTGTCAGCTTTTATTGCATAGCCTGACATCGTTTAAATAAGGGGACACAAAAGGATCACTTATGTTGTCAGCATTTATTGTATTGCCTGACATCGTCCAGATAAGGGGACACAAAAGGATCACTTATGTTTTCAGCATTTATTGTATTTCCTGACATCGTCCAGATAAGGGGACACAAAAGGATCACTTATGTTGTCAGCATTTATTGTATTTCCTGACATCGTCCAGATTAAGGTACACAAAAGGACCACTTATGTTGTCAGCATTTATTGTATTTCCTGACATCGTCCCGATAAGGGGACACAAAAGGATCACTTATGTTGTCAGCATTTATTGTATTGCTTGACATCGTCCAGATAAGGGGACACAAAAAGATCACTTATGTTGTCAGCATTTATTGTATTGCCTGACATCGTCCAGATAAGGGGACACAAAAGGATCACTTATGTTGTCAGCATTTATTGTATTTCCTGACATCGTCCAGATGAGGGGACACAAAAGGATCACTTATGTTGTCAGCATTTATTGTATTGCCTGACATCGTCCAGATAAGGGGACACAAAAGGATCACTTATGTTGTCAGCATTTATTGTATTTCCTGACATCGTCCCGATAAGGGGACACAAAATGATCACTTATGTTGTCAGCATTTATTGTATTTCCTGACATCGTCCAGAGAGGGGGCCACAAAAGGATCACTTATGTTGTCAGCATTTATTGTATTGCCTGACATCGTCCAGATAAGGGGACACAAAAGGATCACTTATGTTGTCAGCATTTATTGTATTGCCTGACATCGTCCAGATAAAGGGACACAACAGGATCACTTATGTTGTCAGCATTTATTGTATCGCCTGACATCGTCCAGATAAGGGGACACAAAAGGATCACTTATGTTGTCAGCATTTATTGTATTGCCTGACATCGTCCAGATAAGGGGACACAAAAGGATCACTTATGTTGTCAGCATTTATTGTATTGCCTGACATCGTCCAGATAAGGGGACACAAAAGGATCACTTATGTTGTCAGCATTTATTGTATTTCCTGACATCGTCCCGATAAGGGGACACAAAAGGATCACTTATGTTGTCAGCATTTATTGTAATTCCTGACATCGTCCAGAGAGGGGGCCACAAAAGGATCACTTATGTTGTCAGCATTTATTGTATTGCCTGACATCGTCCAGATAAGGGGACACAAAAGGATCACTTATGTTGTCAGCATTTATTGTATTGCCTGACATCGTCCAGATAAAGGGACACAAAAGGATCACTTATGTTGTCAGCATTTATTGTATCGCCTGACATCGTCCAGATAAGGGGACACAAAAGGATCACTTATGTTGTCAGCATTTATTGTATTGCCTGACATCGTTCAGATAAGGGGACACATTGGGATCACTTATGTTGTTAGTGTCACACTTTGTTAATCAGTAACTCCTTCAAAACATCTGGGCATAATTCAACCTCACTTGCACAGAATATTCTACAGGACTTTAAGTTGTGAACATGCTTTTTCTATGCCCCCTCCATAGCGGAGGGGACATTAAGGTATACCCTTGTCTGTCTGTACGTACATACCTAAATTGATTTCCGTTCTGTAACTTTAGTTTGCCTCAACCAAATGTTATGAAACTTATACACAATGCTTATTACCACAAAACACAGATCAAGTTAGATTTTGGGTGGCGTTACTTTTCCAGTTCTGTAGTTATGTCCTTTTATAATGTTATATGCAAACACGGGCATCATCCATGTCTCATGGACACATTCTCCATTTATTACTTTTTTTGAGTGATATTTTGGGTTTCCAATATATCAAATTATGGATTTTGCCATTCTTGCTTATATTATTGGAGACAGCTCACACGTCTGCCCTGGAAGACAATCAAAACTCTTGTGTCACTGGCTTGATAGCTATATCTTCTAGCCTTATCTCGTATGAGAGTTAAAACAACCTAATTTAATGAGGTCAACTTTCTTTAGATCATATTTATGTCCATGTATAGCAGTTGATTAATGATACATACTCACATATTCAAGTTACAAAATAATGTGTATATGTATAATCATACTTGTCAAGAAAACTGTTTTATTTAAAATTACAGATGCATGATGTATGAATCTGTTCTAAAAAAAATCAAGTTGTTAAAACTACAATTATGGACAAAGGAAGATACCGTAGAAAGGCTTGTATAGTCCGCGGTTTTATTCTCCAAAATTGGACCTTCCAGACGGGGTGCGGACTATAGAGTACAATAAGCAAGAAATAAGAGAAAAATTTCAATTTCGCGGGCGAGGTGGTTTGTTTACGTTCCGCCATCTTTGTTATTTATATTGTAGAGGGCGCTCTTATCATTTTTCAAACTAATAATTTTAACTCATCCATATTAATAAGTTATTTCTATTCAATATCAAATTAATACTGATAAATATAAAAACTAAACCTTTCATTACAAATTTCTCGTTTCTTTTCAACGCATTGGTTGAAATAAACTGGTATCTGCTTGATTGAAACGATACAAACATAGTGAAAAAGACAACCGTAAACCAGCTTAGAATTTGTAAACTACAAAACGTAATCGGTCATTGTTCGTTCCGTTTTGGTGTTTCATACTGACTAATATGGTTTGTATTAGCTTAAGACCCTTCAAACATTAATGTGATAGATATATTAAAGACTGTTTTACAAAAGGATGGAACTGTTTTACTTTCAAAGTCGTATTATAGTGATATCTGTTATGTACGGATTTCGACTCTCACCGGTTAATTTCTTCTTTTACACGTGCTTTTTAAACTTCCTGTTTAAACATACACAAGTTTCTAAATTGTTTTTTAAGTGAATTAAACTTATTTTAACAATCATGAAGCGTTCTAGAATCAGTTACAAGCAGTTTCAGCTTCTGTTTGATGATGGAAAACAGGGTTTTCCAAGAAAATACCGCAAACGACCGCACAGGATTTGAAATTACCGGAGTTTCATTAGACCTTTTCTAACAGTTACAAAAAGTTTTTTTACCTAAAATTTCGTGGGGAGAAGGGGGTGCGGACTATGTACCACTGCGAACTATACAAGCCTTTCTACGGTAACTTCAATTAAAAATATTGCCTACATGTGTTTCATTGCAATTCAATGTTTAATTTTGAATTCAAATAGCAAAATGAAAGTAATCTTTCAATGCTCACAAGCACTTTGATTTTTATTAATGTAACTGTCTTTTTTCTGGAAACATTCCTGGAAGTATTTTGGCAATTTAGGAGAGGAGGGATTCTCCTTATAATGATAATAATTTTCAAACAACATTAAAAAGTTGCAACTGGGGTTCACTTTAGCAAGCATAACTTTCATTTTTGGTCAAGTAGTTCACCAATATTGGAACTGGTATAAAATCTGTCACATCTCATTATATAAGTTTTGGCTACAAATTTTGTCAAGTCCTCTCGCTTTAACCTAAATGGTACGGATGGAAGTTATATATGAAGAGGCAAAAGTAATAATCTTGGAATTTTTATTTTCAGTATTCAATCCTTAGATTTGATGAAAAAAGATTAAAAGTTATAGAAGAAATGAAAATCAAGGAGCCTGAAGATGAAACTGCAGGTATATAATTTTTCTTTCTTCAGAAAAAAAAAGTACCCCCTGGTGACAGACATCTTTTCTTGGAAGACTCACATTTTTTTATAATTATTTACTGTACAAAGAATACTAGATATTCCAAACGAGCTTCATTTAATATTTATTTACTGAAAACTTTTGAAATTTTAACAGTCACAAAAACGCTTTAACAAATAGGGCTCATGAGACCCGAAGATTTGTGGACATAGCAAAAGTTAGAGCTTTTTTCCGATCACAGTGATTTTGTGATATGCTAAATGAAGAGCTTTTTGTCCATTTACACCGAAAATTACCATTTTCAAATTTTTTTTTCTTTGGAAAATAAAAGTTAAGGTAGGAGCGTATAAAAATGGGTTGGTCGAGTGTCCAGAACCACATCTATTTTTTTGGGGGGCCATTATTACAAATTCTATGACAAAATATCTTTCAAAATTTGTTGAAAGGAGAGGTTTACATTTTGATTTGTAAGTGTTTGACTGGTAACAATCTCAATAAGCCTATATATTCTATTGATATATCACTAGATGTAGATAATGAAGCATTTGAGCCAACTCCACCAAAGAGAGCAAAAAGGAGAGAAACAAACAAGAAAAGAAAGCCTAAAGAAAAAATAAAGACAGTGAAAAAAAATGTCAATAGTTTTGAAGAGATTAAGGAAGAAATGAGAAGGGCTACAGAAGATGAGTCTTTAGATGGATTATCGCAGGTAATTTATGCTGCTACATTATATACTGATTCAATAATAATATAAAGAAACAATATGAGATGATTTTTTAGTATATTATTAGACATCATGCAAGTTAGTTAAATTGGTAGAGTGACTATATGCTAATAACCATGTATTTAATACTAACTGCCAGTTCTGACATTATCTAAAAGAATTCTCAAAAATGTAAGAATTTTTTTTATTGGAGTCCTCAAAACAGAGCTGTGGAGACAGAAATACCAGGCATTTGTCTGTTATGTCTTGTAAGTGCTCTCCTGCCTTCAAGGTTTATACAAAAGCAAAAGTATTTGATAAGTTTGAAAATCAGTGCAGATGAACTACTTTTATACAACCGCAAACAAATTACGTTCGTATATTGCTATCATCGTCGTCTGAAGACATTTGGTTTCCGGACAATAACTTTAGTGTAAGTGAATGGATCTCTATGAAATTCAACCACAAGGTTCAATAGCACAAAAGGAAGGTTGGGATGGATTTTAGGGGTTATGGTCCCAACTGTTTAGGAATTAGGGGTCAAAAAGGGGCCAAAAAAGGCATTTTTCTAGTTTCCAGACAATAACTTGTGTATAAGTGTATGGATCTCTATGAAATTGTACCACAAGGTTCCATACCACAAAAGGAAGGTTGAGATTGACTTTGGGGGTTATGGCCCAAACCGTTCAGGAATTAGGGGCAAAAAAAGGGGGGAAAAACAAGGTTTTTTTGGTTAATGGTCAATTACTTAAGTAACTGGATCTCTATGAAATTGAAACACAAGGTTCCATACCACAAAGGGAAGTTTGGGTTTGACTTTGGGGGTATGGCTCAAGCCGTTCAGGAATAAGGGTCAAAAAGGGGGAGCTGAGGAACAAGGTTTTTATGGTTTCCGGACAAAAACTTAAGTATTAGTCAGTGGATCTCTATGAAATTGTACCACAAGGTTCCATACCACACACAGAAGGTTGGGGTCGATTTTGATTGTGGCTTTAATTGTTAAGAAACTAGAGGCCAAATAGGGGCCTAAAACAAGACTTTTCTAATACTGGCTAAGCTGGTTCTAACATAAATTATTTCTGATCTATATAAAGAAATAACAAATACTGATATGGCAGGAGATACACACCAAACAGGGTGTGTAAATTATTATATTTAGTTTGTAAACAGAGTTACTAAGTATTGTGCAACAGCAAAGTATTGCACAACAGCAAGATATCTTCAATTAAAAATAAATACAAATCTTTAACCAATTTCAATGAGGATTAATTTAAAGTCTTGAATTGTTTGAGGTTTTTACCATGTATTACTATATTGGATATTTGGACATTTTTAAATAGGTCTACATTGAGGTCCAAAGGGTCCAAAATTAGACTTTGTTTGATTTCATCAAAAACTGAATTCTTGTGGTTCTATGATATGCTGAATCTAACGGTGCATTCAGATTTTTAATTTTGGGCCCTGTTTTCAAATTAGTCCATATTAAGGTCCAAAGGGTCCAAAATTAAATTTTGTTTGAATTCATGTTTTTTTTTTTATATGCTGAATCTAACCATGGAATTAAATTTTGGATATTTGACCATTATGTAGATTAAATGTCCCATTTCAAATTTTTAAGTTATCTGACCACATTTATTCTGTGTCAGAAATCTACAATGTGTCAAATATTTAATTACTATCCAAATTCAGATCTGTATCAAGCTTGAATATTGTGTCCATACTTGCCCCAACTGTTCAGAGATTGACCTCTGCGGTCGTATCCAGCTGCATCCAGGCGGAGCGCATTTTTAATAAAATAATGTCCTTTGGAAATGAAGATTATATGGAAAATTGCATTGTAAACACTCTCTTGACTGCATTTCTTGAATGATTTTTATAAAATTTTTGTCAAAACTTTATATATTTTCTGTGACGAGTTAGAAAATCAAGAGCTCAATCAACAATTTTTTATAGGAGTTATGGCCCTATGAAATGTTAATTATTTGCATTGCAAGCGCACAGTCTATATTTCTTGTTGGATTTTTATGAATTTTATATAAAAGATTTATGTCAGCAAAATATATGAAGGTTTGAATATCAGGGCCCATCAACTACTTTTACAGGAGTTATTTCCAATAGGAATTGTGAAGGACTGGATGTGATAAGCACGGAAGGGGTAACCTTTTGAAATGCACAGTTCTAGTTTATAAAACCCTTTTACATTTTGGGGGCAAATTAGGCCTTAATGCCCCTATTCCTTTCGATTCTTTTGAAACCTGTACACGGTCTTTCTCATATTGGCCTATTGTATGATTTTATGTTTATCACATTTTTATATCATAGATGTAACTATGTAATTGACATGTTTTTATACCCTGGCTTTAAAAAAGTGGGGGTATACTGTTTTTTATACCCCCGCTTTAAAAAAGTGGGGGTATACTGTTTTATCTCTGTCTGTCAGTCAGTCCGTCCGTTAGTCTGTCCGTCAGTCCGTCCATCCCATGAATATTTTTCATCGCATTTTTCTCAGGAACTACATTACAAGGATTACTGAAATTTAGTTTCAGGGTTTATATGAGTCAGCTATACCGTGTGATGCGTTTTCAGATTCATCACTCAACAACTTCCTGTTTACAGAACACTTCCATCATTTTACACGTGACATCCAAGTAGTTGAAAATTTTCGTCACATTTATCTCAGGAACTACATTACAAGGATTTCTGAAATTTGGTTTCAGGGTTTATATGAGTCAGCTTACCCGTGTGATGCATTTACAGATTCATCACTCAACAACTTCCTGTTTACCGAAATATTTGGGCGGGGGTATCATCAGTGAGCAGTAGCTCACAGTTTCACTTGTTTTAGCAGAATTACATATTCATGGGTGAAGATTTATTGCATTTATTTGGAAGCTATCGCAACTAGAAATATGTAATATTGCACAGAAATTTGAAGTCAAAATGCATAATAGTTATATGTTATCCTTATTTTTAGGGTCAAGTATGCTACAGTATGTTGTACGTGAGTTTTAGAATTTGGCAGACGTTAATGGTGGCTGACCTTGACTCTACCATGCAGAATATAGTAATGGAAGCAACAGTCCGAGTATTTGAATTGTCTCGATTCAGATACAACATCAGTATGGACATCAAAGAAGTTGAATGGTGGGAACAGTTGATGGATAAATCTGTAAACTATATGAAAGCATTTACAACTTATGATTCATTCAGACAGATTGCTAAAAGATACTGCAGTGCAATATTACAGAGCAAATTGAATTTCTATGATGACTTTCTACCTCTACCTCTGACAGATCTGTTGATAACATATGGTGATCTTCCTTATTGTGATCAGCTTAAGATAGCAGTTGAAGTTCTCTGTCACTCACGACAACCAATCTACCAGTTTCAACATGCTCAAAATTTTCGTAAGCTTGAGTGTTGTATATTTATATTAGATTTGCATAATATGAATGACTTAATAAGTTAATTGACAGAAGTATCATATAAGTCAATCTGTTCTATTTATAAGTCAAATAATTATATGCTAGCTTAACATAATGGTCCATTCTACCTGATCTTCTTTCTTAGATAAAAAAAAATAGTACAATCATCTGAGGTTTGATATTGGGATACTACAAGAGCAGGTTTGAATGTAATTGTCTCGAAAACAAATATGCAAAATGTTATTTGCAGCTATTTTGGTCCAAAAATGTGTTAAAAGTCCTTTTTGAAAACCATAAAGAAAATTTACAAAGCAGCATCCACCCATTCAGTTAAAATAAATGAATGTTAAAATATTTATGACTAAAATTGTATGAACCTAATTTAAGCCTTCCTGGCACAAAGGGCCAGTTTGAGCTACTGCCATTATTTCTCATCAGTTATCATCTGTATTTCTATCTATCTATTTATTTTTGTTTACTGTTCATATTTCAATATGTTTTCCGAAATAGTTTTACTCAATTGAAGTAAACTTGGCAGGGATAAATTATGAATGAACCTTGTCCCTGCTGAAGGCCAGTTGTCACTAAACTTGTGGTGACAAATGAAAAATTTTATCGATTTTTTATGCACCCCCCCCCCCCACCATAGCGGAGGGGACATTAAGTTTTTCCCTTGTCCGTCTGTACATCCATCCATACGTCCCGAAATTGGTTTCCGTTCTCTAACTTTAATTTGCATCAACCAAATTTTATGAAACTTATACACAATGCTTATTACCACAAAACACAAATCAAATTTGAATTTTGGTGGCATCACTATTACCATTCTAGAGTTATGCCCCTTTAAATATTGAAGAATTGCTATATTTTTGTTTCCGTTCTCTAACTTAAGTTTGCCCCTACCAAATGTTATGAAACTTATACACAATGCTTATTACCACAAAACTCAGATCAAGTATGAATTTGGGTAGCGTCATTTTTACCGTTCTTGCGTTATGTCCCTTTATAACGTTATATGTAAGCATGGCCATCATCTGTGTCCCATGGACACATTCCTCATTTATTTTTTTTTATTTTTGCCTATTATCTTTAAAACTATAATAGATAAAGAGAAACTTAAAATAACAAAGACTGTCACCAAGACAAGATCTACAAATAAGTACACAAGGCCAAAATCGCAAGAAGACTCCTGATTGGAGTTATTGCCCTTCAATGACAGTTTTTACCATTTTTAGCATACTGTGGATTCATTATTATTCGTTGGATACCAATTTTCGTGGGTTTCGTGGATACAGCTGAACCACGAATTTAAATATTCAACGAATTACAAATTTTCTATAAGCTTTGTATGCTGAGATTGACCAAACCACGAAATCAAATATCCACGAAAATGCCAGTTTTCCACAATCCACGAAAATTGATACCCACGAAAATAAATGAATCTACAGTACCTGGACTTCATCATCCGTCGTCTTCTGTTTACTTTTTCAAAAATCTTCTCCTCTCAAACTACTGGGCCAGATCTTCAGTAGACTCCTAATTAGAGTTATTGCCCTATAATGACGATTTTTATACGACCGCAAAAATTAAAAAAATTTTGGTCGTATATTGGTATCACGTCGTCGTTGTCAGCATCAGTGTCGTCTGAAGACAGATGGTTTCCGGATAATAACTTTAGTATAAGTAAATAGAAATCAATAAAATTTTAACACAAGGTTTATAACCACTAAAGGAAGGTTGGGATTGATTTTGGGGGTTATGGTCCCAACTGTTTAGGAATTAGGGGCCAAAAAAGGGGCCCAAATAAGCATTTTTGTAGTTTCCAGACAATAACTTGTGTTAAAGTGAATGAATCTCTCTGAAATTATACCACAAGTTTCCATACTACAAAGGGATGGTTAGGATTGACTTTGGGGGGTTATGGCTCAAACCATTTAGGAATTAGGGGCAAAAAAAGGGGAAAAACAAGGGGTTTTCTTGTTAAAGGACAATTGAGACAATTTAAAAGCAGTGTAAGGGAGGTAATCCAAATCAATTCAAATAACAATGTTTGATTACCTCCCTTACACTGCTTGTAAATTATGTATTAAGAAATGATGATTGTCTGAGATACTGACCATAACTTGAGTGAAAGAATTATTATTTGGAATAAGGGAAAGGGGGGAGGTGAAAAAAATTGGAGGGGGACAATTTTTCTCATTTAAGATTTCAGATTTCAATTCGCATAGTGTATTGCACAAAAGCAAAAAATTGAATATAAATTCAAATCATATAACCAATTTGAAGTTCTTTGACTACAGTTATTTTGTGTCAGAAACCTATTATGTGTCAAAAAATTTAATTACAATCCAAATTCAGACCTGTATCAGGCGTGAATATTGTGTCCATTTTGGCCCCAACTTTTCAGGGTTGGACATCTGCGGTCGTATCCAGCTGCGCTCAGCAAAGCAATTTATTACCATTTTTTTTTGCGTTTTTGCCTAATATCTTAAAAACTATAATAGATAGATTGAAACTTTGAAAAGCCAAAATTATCAGCAAGTCAAGATCAACAAATTAGTCTTAACGCAGACATTGTCAGTTGACTCAATATTGGAGTTGTTGCTCTTTTTGAATAACAATTTATACCAAATTTTAGTGTTATGGCTTTTATCTTGAAACTAATATTGATAGCCAGACACTTTGAATAAGGAAAATGATCAGCAAGACAGAGCCTACAAACAGGTCAAAAATGGCCAAAATCGTCCATCAACTCCTTATTGGAGCTCTTGAAAATTATAAAAGATAGATGGACACTTTAAAGACTAAAATATCTCAGATCAGCAAGACAAGATCTTCAAATAGGTAAAATTTTGATGAAATCGTTAGTAGACTCTTTTAAATATAAGTGATTGCCTTGAATGACAATTTAAAAAACTAAAGAAGATACAGGGAAACTGTTAACAGAAAAATGATCAGCAATACAAGATCAACAAAAAAGTTGTCATGAATTCTATTCTAGACTACAATGTTGGAATGTGTCCATTGTTGAAGATTCACATATACCTAGGTGAGCGACACAAGCTCTTTAGAACCCCTAGTTTTAAGTTGTTTGTGTATAGTGAGGAGGGTGTCCATCTGTTCTTCCTTCTGTCCCATGTTTTGTGTCTGCTAATGCTAAGCAGCATGACAGAATTTTGTTAAACTCTCAGGCAATCTTACTAACATATAATTTTTCACTTTTGTTTTTCAATTCTTCATTCAAATGATTTTTTGGGTTTACTAAGACAAGACACATTGGCACACTACAGTGGACATTTGTTTCCGCTGTTCCTTCTTTCTAACCTTATCAGAATGTTATGAAACTTTCTCAACACCTTTACTATATAAGCCATTATGCACCTCCTATATTTTGTTTATTGATCTAAAGTATTTTAGGGTATCCCTTTGAAAAATTATTGAATGTGTAAGGGGTAGGGGTATCATTTTGTGAACTATGCTTGCATTACCTCTAATTTTTATACGACCATAAAAAAATTTTTGCGTTCTTATAATGCTATCATGTCATCATCGTCCGAAGACACATTTGGTTTCGGGACAATAACTTTAGTTTAAGTGAATGGATCTCTATGAAATTTTACCAAAAGGTTCAATACCACAAAAGGAAGGTTGGGATTGATTTTGGGGGTTTTGGTACCAAAAGTTTAGGAATAAGGGGCCAAAAACAAGCATTTTTGTAGTTTCCGGACAATAACTTGTGTGTGAGTGTATGGATCTCTATGAATTTGTACCACAAGGTTCCATACCACAAATGGAAGGCTGAGATTGAGTTTGGGGGTAATTACTCCAAGGGAGGGGGGGGGGGGGGGGGGGCGGAGGTTCAGAAATTTTGGGGGGTTCATACTTTTTTTTCTTCCTGATTTTTCAAAATTTCTAGTTTTTTCAACAACAAAAATTTTAGGGGGATTTTTTTTCATAATTTTTTGGTTTTTTTTCATAAATATTTTCCATTTTTACATTGATTCTTTCTGATTTATATATAAAAGTAACAAATACTGATATGGCAGGAGATACACACCAAACAGGGTGTGTAAATTATTATATCAGGGGTTCAAATTTGCTTTAAATAATGAAAGGTCTAGGACCATTTGAAATTTTAAGTGAAAGGTCCTCCATAAGAAATCAACGGTCGTGTATAAAGCATCAATGTAAAGAATGGTAGGTCCTTGACTTTTGTAATTCAAAAATGAAAAGTCCTCTCCTAGAAAAGACAGGTCCCGGATCTCGGACCCACACTAATTTGAACCCCTGTATATATAACAGATTAACTAAGTATTGTGCAACAGCACAGTATTGCGCAATAGCAAGAAATCTTCAATTACACAGTATTGCGCAATAGTAAGAAATCTTCATTTGCACAGTATTGCCCAATAGCAAGAAATCTTCAATTGCACAGTATTGCGCAATAGCAAGAAATCTTCAATTGCACAGTATTGCACAATAGCACATTATTGCGCAATAGCAAGAAATCTCAATTGAAAATAAATACAAATCTTCTATTAACCAATCTCAATGGGATTAATTTAAAGTCTTTAATTTTAGGGGGTTCTAACCTTGTATTACTATTTTGGATATTGGGCCCCATTTTTAAATTGGTCTACATTGAGGTCCAAAGGGTTCAAAATTAAATTTTGTTTGATTTCATCAAAAACTGAATTATTGCCGCTCTATGATATGGCGAATCTTATTGTGCATTTAGATTTTTTAATTTTGGGCCCGGTTTTCAAATTAGTCAATATTAAGGTTTGTAGGGTCCAAAATTAAACTTTGTTTGATTTCAACTAAAAGTAAATTTTTGGTGTTTTTTTATATGCTGAATCTAACCATGTTGTTATATTTTGGATATCAGACCATACTAGGTAAATTAAATGTCCCATTTCAAATTTTTAAGATCTTTGACCACATTTATTTTGTGTCAGAAACCTATATTATGTCAAAAATTTGATCACAATCCAAATTCAGACAGTATCAAGCTTGAGTATTGTGTCCAAACTTGCTCCAACTGTTCAGGGTTCGACCTCTGCGGTTGTATCAGGCTGTGCTCGGCGAAGCATTTTATTGCCATTACTTTTGTAAGGCTAATGTTAACTGATACTTCATGGCTTATATATTGATACTGCTTTGAGTTAACAACATGAATGTTTATCTAATTTGCAGTTCAAACAGATATGTCAAATCTTAAAAGGGATATAGTCAAGAAATACAAGATATTGCTGTCTCTAGTTTTTAGTGTAAACAATGATATGCCTGAACAGTCAGAAGCAGCCAGACAGGTATGTTTCAAATTGTTCAGAATAATTGTTCTGTAATTGGATTATTGTACTGCGTGTAACGCCCAGAAATGCCGGGCGTCTGTCCGTCTGTCCTTGTCTTGTCTTGTAAGCACTCTCACATGTACAATTATTGCCAGATTTTTATGAAAGTTATATCATAGGTTTATATCAGCAATGTCTTGGAAGAGTTTGAAAATCAGTGCCAATCAATTATTTTTAAAAGAGTAAGGCCCCTTGGACACATTAATTTTATGGAAAATTGCATCGTAAGCGCTCTCATTTGTACAATTCTTGCCAGATTTTTATGAAACTTATATCATAGGTTTATATCAGCAATGTCTTGGAAGAATTCGAAAATCAGTGGCGATCAATTATTTTTAAAAGAATTCTGCCCCTTGGAAACATTAATTATATTGAAAATTGCATAGTAAGGCGCTCTCATGTGTACAATTCTTGCCAGATTTTTATGAAACTTATATCATAGGTTTATATCAGCAATGTCTTGGAAGAGTTCGAAAATCAGTGGCGATCAATTATTTTTAAAAGAGTTATGCCCCTTGGACACATTAATTTTATGGAAAATTGCATCGTTAGCGCTCTCATGTGTACAGTTCTTGCCAGATTTTTATTGAATTTATATTAAAGGTTTAAATCATCAAAGTACTTGAAGAAGAGTTCAAAAATCAATGCTGATCAATTATCTTTAAGAGTTATGCCCCTTGAAAATATTGATTATATGGTGAATTGCATTAATGTTAGCACTCTCATATGTACAATTCTTGCCAGAATTTTATGAAACTTAAATTATAGGTTTATATCAGCAATGTCTTGAACGAGTTCGAAAATCAGTGCCAATCAATAATTTTTATACGACCGCAAAAATTAAAAATTTTTTGGTCGTATATTGGTATGACGTTGGCGTCGTTGTCGTCGTCGTCGTCGTCCTCGGCGTCGTCCGAAGACACATTGGTTTTCGCACTCTAACTTTAGTTTAAGTCAATGGATCTCCATGAAATTTTACCATAAGGTTCAAGACCACAAAAGAAAGGTTGGGATTGATTTTGGGGGTTATGGTACCAACAGTTAAGGAATTAGGGGCCAAAAAGGGGCCAAAAATAAGCATTTTTGTAACTTCCAGACAATAACTTGTGTGTAAGTGTATGGATCTCTCTGACATTGTACCACAAGGTTCCATATCACAAAGGGAAGGCTGTAATTGATTTTGGGGGTAATTGCCTCAAAATTTTAGGAATTAGGGGCCAAAAAAGGGGCAAAAAACAAGCATTTTTCTAGTTTCATGACAATAACTTGTGTGTAAGTGTATGGATCTTTATGAAATTGTACTACAAGGTTCCATATCACAAAGGGAAAGCTGGAATTTAGTTTGGGGGTAATTGCCTGAAACGTTTAGGAATTGGGGGCCAAAAAGGGGCCAAAAATAAGCATTTTTTCTAGTTTCCAGACAATAACTTGTGTTCAAGTGTATGGATCTCTCTGAAATTGTACTGCAAGGTACCATACCACAAAGGGAAGGCTGGGATTGAGTTTGGGGGTGATGAATCATAAGGGGTTCAAAAAATTTGGGGGGGGGGGGGATTTTTTTTTTTTTCTTTTTTTTTCTTTTTTTCCTTTTTTTTTTCTTTTAAAATTTTCCATTTTAAGTTGGTTATTTCTGATTTATATTTAAAAGCAAATAATAATGATATGGTAGGAGATACACACCAAACAGGATGTGTAAATTATTATATAATAAGTATTGTGCAATAGCAAGAAATTTTCAATTGCGCAGTATTGCACAATAGCAAGAAATCTTCAATTGCACAGTATTGCGCAATAGCAAGAAATCTTCAATTGCACAGTATTGCGCAATAGCAAGAAATATCCAATAGCACAATATTGCGCAATAGCAAGAAATTGTCAATTGTACAGTATTGCGCAATAGCAAGAAATATTTAATTGCACAGTATTGTGCAAAAGAAGATACTTCGTATAAATTGCTTATTTCTTGATCAATTTCAATGGGGTTTTATTCTTGAATTCTTGGGGTTCTTTAATATGCTGAATCTAACCGTATATGAAGTTTTTGGATTTTGGGCCCCATTTTTAAATTGGTCCACATTGAGGTCCAAAGGGTCCAAAATTTAACTTTGTTTGATTTCATCAAAAATTTAATTACTGGGGTTCTTTGATATGCCGAATCTAACCGTGTATTTAGATCCTTAATTTTTGGTTCCGTTTTCAAATTGGTCTACATTAAGGTCCAAAGGGTCCAAAATTAAACTTAGTTTGATTTTAACAAAAATTGAATATTAAGGGTTCTTTGATATGCTGAATCTAAACATGTATTTAGATTTTTGATTATGGGCCCAGTTTTCAAGTTGGTCCAAATCGGGGTCCATAATTAAACTTTGTTTGATTTCAACAAAAATTGAATATATGGGGTTCTTTGATATGCTGAATCTAACCATGTATTTAGATTTTTGATTTTTGGGCCCCGTTATCAACTTTGTCCATATTGAGGTCAAAAGGGTCCAAAATTAAACTTTGTTTGATTTCATCAAAAATTGAATTCTTGGGGTTTTTTGATATGCTGAATCTAACCATGTATTTAGATTTTGGATATTGGACCATAATAGGTGAATGTCCAATTTAAAATTTTTAAGTTCTTAGACCACATTCATTCTGTGTCAGAAACCTATGCTGTGTCAAATATTTAATCACAATCCAAATTCAGAGCTGTATCAAGCTTGAATGTTGTGTCCATACTTGCCCCAACTGTTCAGGGTTCGACCTCTGCGGTCGTATCAAGCTGCGCCCTGCGGAGCATTTTATTAAAAGAGTTATGCCCCTTGGAAACATTAATTATATGGAAAATTGTCTTATGAACGCTCTAATGTGTACAATTCTTGCCAGATTTGTATGAAATTTATATTGTAGATTTATATCATCAATGTACTTGAAGAGTTTAAAAATCAGTGCCAATCAATTATTTTTGTCCGTCTGTCCTTGTCTTGTCTTGTAAGCACTCTCACATGTACAATTATTGCCAGATTTTTATGAAAGTTATATCATAGGTTTATATCAGCAATGTCTTGGAAGAGTTTGAAAATCAGTGCCAATCAATTATTTTTAAAAGAGTAAGGCCCCTTGGACACATTAATTTTATGGAAAATTGCATCGTAAGCGCTCTCATTTGTACAATTCTTTCCAGAATTTAATGAAACTTATATCATAGGTTTATATCAGCAATGTCTTTGACACTCTCGAAAATAAGTTCTGATCAAATATTTTTAATGAGTTATGCCCCTTGGAAATATAAATGGAAATGACATTGCATTTGCTCTGAAGCCTTCGTTTCTCTTAAGATATTAATAAAAAGTTTAAAAGAACAAAAAAAAGGTGTTTTTTGTAGTTATGGCCTTTGTACCTTGGATAGATAAAATATGCGCAATGCCGGGGACATTGGAACTCTGTTCTTTTATTATCCATGTGGTACTAAATTTTGTGGGTGAAGGTTTTTAACCACAAATTCAAGTTTATAACAAAATCTTCCAAAACCACAAATTCAGTTTTCAAGAAAATACCTTTTTGAGCTATTGCCATCACTTGGTGTACATTGTCGTCTTAAACTTTTTAAAAATCTTCTTTTATGAATCTGCGAGACCAATTCCAGCCGAACTTTGGCTGAATGATTCTTATGGTATCTAGTAAAAGTTTGTGTTTTTGGGTAAAGATTGCATGAAATGCAATCAAAACCTTATGGTACTGACTTGATCAAGGCTTCCAAAACGGTCATATATTCCGGACATTTGTATAATGTCCGGTAAAAGTCCGGCTGGGCAAAGCATGAAACGGTCATCTATTTTTTAGTTTTCAAGGCTTTCTTAGGAGACGGTCATTTTAACATAATTCGCGATCTTTTTGACCCAACCTTTTGCCTTTAACAGCCACACATTTCCGGTCATAAAAGTGACATGATCATTAAGTACTATCTAAACAACCCCTACTTTAATACCTTCTCATTTTAATCAAGGCTAATTAATTGTCGAACAGCTGAAATTTACCTGTTCAGGTGACAGGTCAACTATTTTGAACCGGACATTGATCGGTCTATTCAAAGTTATTTTCTTACATCCAGCGGTTTGCATCTAATTAATTTAGTCAAAAAGATTTAAATTATCAGAAATATGTTTACAAATATGATTTGATGAAAAAAATAAAAAGGTGAAAATGAAAAATCGTCATAACCACGTTGTTTGAACCAGAGACATGTCTCTGTTTGAACTAGTACACGTGTGCGCATGTGCACAGGTGTGAAATTTAATTATGGATCCTAATTTCTTGAAAAATGCTTAAATTGTCATTGATACCTTTATCTCACGTTTATTTCGAATATTTTCTTGAAGAAATAACGTAGAAAGAGCCGCTTACACTCATTCATGCTTTGCAAACGTACACGGAATTTACGTATCCGTCTCTGGTCCATGTTTTACCATTGTCAAGATAACATCCGGTAAAAACGAAAGTAAAGTTTTTGACAACGTTATATTTTGCACAAATAAAGAATCTAAGGCAGACATTAGTACGCTAATGTTGCACACTTCGAATGATGCACTGCCAATTTAACAATTTACGTCTGAACTTCGAATTTGAATCAAAGAAAGTTTAATATCATTTTTTTTTAATGTCAATCATTGGGATGGTCAACTCGGCAACTGATTACCATAATTGCCTCTTCTCTTAAGGGATTAAAATCAGAATCATATATAAAATGTCCGGCTGGCTAAAAATAATTTTGGAAGCCCTGGACTTGATATCTATATCTTCCAAGGTTTATCACTACCTTTGATAGTTCAAATAAAATAGTGCAGTGAAGTTATTATTATTTAGATCCTATCCAGTCAATGTCATGCAATTTATTAATGATGTTATAGTTTGATATTTTAGTTACTATATCATGTGTATTTGAATTACCATACTTGTCAAGAAAACATTTTTGT